AGAAATCCCATCGTTTAGTTTTGAAATAAAGTAATGTTAAACTTCAAACGCGATTTTCTCGATTCCAAAGTCATGGTGTATGGATCAAAATAGCACTCAGCCGACGATATATTATTTTTGAAGTTGTGTGACTACTAATCAAATTTTCAATATTTATGTGCTATCGTAAATTTCCAAAATACAAATGTCAAAACGAAAAATCACAAAAAATTATCTAATTATATATGTATTTGTATATATATATGTATATTACAACTTACTACTTGAATTACAAATAACTATGTATAAGATTAATTGATTCTAAATTAAGCTCTCGGAAATGGTTTTAATTTTTTTATGCTAAAAATTTCAAACAATCAAAAAACTTTATGACAATTATGCTACCATATAAAAATAAATTGACTTGATTTTTTAAATTCTTGTTTTAGAATCGACATTTGCATACCAGCATAACTGGTTTTATAAAATAAATTAATACTAATTTAAAACTTTTGAACCAATTTATAACACATAACATATAACTTATGTATATACAAGTAAACATGAATGTATAGGGATTTCTTAAGCCGCTTTTAAATCATTGTTAATAGCCAGAAAATTTAAAGTTTAAAGTAAATAAATTTTGTTTTAAAGAAGCACATTTCTTGGCAAACAAATTATTAAAATTGTTGGCGTAGAAAATTTATCGAGGACACTTAAACCGTTTTTCTCTCAACTTCTTGAAATTTTTTAAAACATCAATTCCTATATCAAGTAGAAAGAAACGAAGTAGCAACTTTATAAACATTATCACTAAAAATTTGAGGTAGCAACCTTAAGTGTTAACTTAATTAGATTTAGATATTGTAACTTACAAACTGTGGCTAGAAATTAAATCAATTCCAGTGATGAGTTTTAATCTCATTCGGAATTAATTCGGAATAATTATTTTCAAATAATCAAATCCAATTAAAAATATTAATTTTAAAAATATTGCAAAATAAAAATTCTTCTCCAAAACATCCCATCTCTTTTGGTTTTTTTCCTTGGGATTTTTTCTTTTAACAATAATAAAATTTTATAATATTAATTAAGCGCTTCATTCGTTTAGTTAAAGTGTGATAAAATTAATAATTTAAATACCATTATAATTGCAAAATTATGTATTCAATAAAATGGTTGCACATACTTACATTGAAAAGTGATTATATAACTTGTTTATCTTACCAGTATATCTTATTTGTGCAGCTATATACCCTACCTACACTAATATTTCTGTTAATTTTTATTAATATTGAACTTCAAGAGAAGATAAATTTAAAAATATTGGGAAAGTTGTGCCAAAAATCAGGTATTTTAATTGGTAAAAAAATATTTATGTTTGTTAAAATATTTAATTACTTAATAACAATATGTTGAGCTGCCTGGAAATCCTGTACATACTTGCAATATTAACACTTACTATACCTATCCCACTATTATGTGGTTACAGGATGCAATCCTTGAAATCCATGTCTATAAAGGCGTCAACTCTTATTTGTGTAGATTAAAAGCATCTGTGGATTCTTAAATCTCTTAAAACTTGTTCAAAAAATTCATAGATTAAAGTAAGTTTTCCTTAAAGCTTCATCTGGGTATGACATTCACAACCAACTGAAAAAATTGGACATTATTTCGTAAAAAGTTGACATTAAAGCTAAATAGCAGTTAAATTTTTCTCGCAGCATAGACGTTTTTTTTAAAACGTCAATTTAGTTATAAATTAGTATGTTAAAATTTGGTAATTTACTACAAAAATTATTGTTAGCAAAAACCAGCTGTTTAGCTACTGTTCAAAAATTCATTCTACTGTTAAAAAATGTAACAGTAATTCTGATCAAATTTCTATTATTTACGGTCAGATTGTCAAACAGTGTTCATGCGCTCATGAACTTTCATCAGACTCAAATTAACTTCTAAAATTTGTCGTATGTATATGCAAATGTTAACTAAGATTTTGCCGTATATGCGCACACAGTAACTTAGATTTTGTCGTACAATACGTAAATAGTAACTTAAATTTTGTCGTATACATTAAAAGTAACTTAGAATTTGTCGTATACGTTAACAGTAACTTATATTTTGTCGTACAATACGTGAATAGTAACTTAAATTTTGTCGTATACATTAAAAGTAACTTAGATTTTATTATGCTGACAGTAACTTAGTTTTTGTCGTATATACGTCAACAATAAGTTAGATTTTGTCGTAAGTATAAACAATTACTTACTCATGCTCATGGAACACAACTAATGTTCACTATACTTTTTGTTTCATATAACTTTTACGCTTGGGTGTAATACGGTCACACGTTTATACTACACATCATAATTACATAAATATTTATACGATTTAGAGACCGACAAGAATATTTTTTCTATACATATTGTGATATAAAAAGGAGTTATTCCGAAATAATGGATATAATATTTATGATTATAATAAAATAAAGCTTCATTTAAAAAAAAAAATTTCTAACAAAATAAAATATTTTCATCTACACAGATCTACACACATATATAATGTATGGTGTATAGTAATGAAGTATGTAGTGTTGCCCACATAACATCTTGTTTAATCAGATATCTGATCCCCCGTGACACCATCAGAATCAACTTTTATAATTTTTTTTTTTTTTACTGTTGTTATTAATTTTTTTTCTTACATGTAAATATTGTTATACGTCTATGTTTGTAAGTTTCTGTGTTTTTTTAACTAGATTTTCTAAATGTACACGGGCCAAATAAGATCTATCTATAAAATATATATATATATATATGTAGATAAATATCTAAACATAAAATAAAGAAAAAAAATTTTAAAATAAATAGTTAAATATTTAAAAGTTGTTAGGATGTTGTTAAATCTTTAATTTTATTTATTTAATTTTTTTCTTTTCACAAACTTCATTTTACTTTTATTAGATTTGTTTTCAATAGGTTCATGTGTTTGTACATAAATTGCACATATTATTATGTGCTTACATATTTGGGTATATGTATAAGTGTGATGTTGTTATTAGAAAATAAGTGATACGTAAACGATGAACAAAATCTAAAAATAAAGAAACAAATTACAAGAGAATGCGTCACTTCCCGATTAATTTAAATTTTACGAAGTACGAGGCAGTTGAATAAAAGGAAAACAAGTGAGAAGAACGTGTTTAGGTTTTTTTGCTTATTGTGGTTTGAATATAACATTTGAACACTTCCTTTTTTAATTCTAGATTATTAAATTACTGATACGATATTATTAAATTTATTTAATTCTGTGAATTTACTATTTTGTAAAAAATAAAGTGTTTTTATAGCAAATATTTTATCAGATAATAAATTTATCAATCTTGTATTGAATTTTATTTTTATCTATAGAAGATACTAGAATACATTGATGTCGAAAATAATAAGGAAAGGAATTAAAATCTTCACTTAAATCGTAAATTAAAATGTTTTTTTTTTTGGAATTTAGAGTTTCACTTTTGTTGTGTATTTCTTACTCTAACAGACCTGTTTTAAATTTAAATTCACTAAAATTTTTTCATATAGAACAACGTGATATATTACATTGTATGTTCTCTCTATTTATCTCCATATGTCTATCTCAGTGAAAATAAATAGATGTCAGATGAGTGTAAATATTTAATAGTTATTATTTTATTATTTCATTTTGAGAAATTAAAAACTTTTTCTTAATGTAAGTGACTTCATTTAAAATAGACTAGAACATCTAATAAATAAAAAGTATGTGTGTGTCGTAGCCAATGACGGACGACGCTATCTATTTTTCGTATATTTTAAAATTGTGAATTGTTTTCAGCAAGACTTAAAAAATTAAAAGATATTATCGAATAATTATTGATTAGGTGTCATTTGGAGAATTCTTAATTATTTCTTAAGCGGATCACAGCAGCAGGCTTGACAAAAACCTAACCAAACTGGGTTTTAGAGATTTAAGGGTCTTGGAAATTCTTTAGTTAAGGAAAGGAGACCCCAATGAGCTTTCTCAATAAGTATACAATCCATAAGAGAAGGAATATCTTGGATGGATGTTATTGTGAGATATTTCCCAGGAGAAATTACTCGGACTCATCCCGAATTAGATGGGTGTTTTCTAAGCAAGAAACTGTCACTTGAATTTGAACATTACATTATATTAAAATGACATAATATAGGACCTGTTTAGGTATATGGGATCTAATTTAGGGTCAGAATTTAAAATGGTTAACATAAATCAGGATTTCTTAAACGTAACGACCACTCAAACTATATTGAATTTGATGCAATAAATACACAAATATTTTGAATTTTGTTCAAGTTTCATTCAATATTGAAATAGAATTGATGGGAAAGCCAAAACAAATAAGTTGCTGAATTAATGAATTAAGATTTACGTGTTACGTATTTTACATACATATGTAAATATTTACAATAACACATAGAAGCTTTAATTAATTAAAATAATTGCCAATATTCAAAAATTATTCGAAATGATCACGCAATTATACTTTCCCATAAAAATCAAATTAAATTTATTGGAATTGAATTCTAAAAAACTAGAATTTAATTTCGTTGACAAATTTATAACGTGCTATACAGAATAAAAACAAGAAGAAAACAGAATTTTGAAAATTGTTGCTGTGTAATCACTAACTACAAATCTATTCTAATTGCAAAATTTGCAAGTTTTCAAATCTAGTATACAAAATAATTTTACCAATATTTTTAAATATTGAAATTAATAAATTTTATTTGAGATCGAATTTATTTTTTAATTTTTCTCAATCACACTTGTATATTGCATATTGTATATATAGTTATACACATCGCATACTTTTATATTTGAGTTGTTATACAATACAGTTTTATATAAGTGCATAATATTATGGTTACTAATTTATTTGTAATGAATTAGATATTAAAAATTTTAAAATATGAAAAAAATAAAAATAAAATTATAACTAATTTTTTTTTTTTTACATTTTCTTACAGAAATTTAATTGGTTGTGCCTGATTTTCGTGTGTTTAACAGAATGTTTTAATGTTGCAAATGGCATGTTAGGAAAATCACAATTTTGTGAAGTAGAAACTGGTCAAACGAATATCATTGTTGATATCGAGGAGAGTCGAGACGACTGTAAGTATTATTTAATATATATTTGAATATGTTTGTAGAAAAAAATTGTAACTTTTTTCAATTTTATAATAAACTTTTACTTTATTTTTTTTTTATTTTTTTTCTTCAAAATCTTTATTAGGAATTATCTTGTTTTTTCGGTTGTTAATGCGGTTATTGTGTTTTTCGCTTTTTTCATTTGTTTTTTATTTTTATTTTGTTTTCTTTTATATCCATATATAATATCCATTTAAACTTGTTAATTATTTCTGAGATAAAGACAAAAAACAAAAAAACATTTTTAAGAACTAGTTATTTAAATTTTTTTTTTTTGTATTTTTGTAATTTCTTCAAGAAATTTTAATTTTTATTTTTGTAACATCTGCAAGATATTGATTAAAAGTATTTTTTAATTTTATTTTAATTTTGAAAAAGCATTCATTTTTTTTTTTGTAAATTATTTTTTAAGTTTTATATTTGAGTTTTATGCGGAATATAGAATAAAGTGGGCTTAAATTTGGAAAAATTCTCTGGAAATAATAGGAGTTTTGTCATATTGCATACGTATAGGCGAAATCAATGATTTGCCCTAGAAGCCCGATTTTCTGGAAAATTTATTAAAGCCACATTGTGGACAAAAATATTTTTTATTAATTTCAGTATTATTAAGTTACGTCATATGAGAGCAAGCTGTCGCACATAATTTATTAAACTAAACGGGATTCGTTTCAATGAACTTCAGTTTATTTTAATATTTTAATTCTGGCATTCAAATAAAATCCAATTGAATAAAATTTTTGACATTTTATCTATATCATATATATTGCTTTTTATATAAATATTGCAACTCAAAAAGCAAATTTAAATTAGTATATCTAAAAGAAATAATTCTACACTCTTCTTAAAATAACCCTATATATGAAGAAGGGGTAAGTGGACGAAGGGGTTAACTTGTATTTGCATTGTAATACATTTTTTCGTTAACAAATTGTAAAACTATTAATTTTTTTGTTACTTATCTCCTATGTGCAGTGTTAATCTCGTTTTCTGTTAAGTTTCTAGCAAGAAGAGTAATCAGGAGTTGAAAATATGTGAAATTTAATGATGTTCTATCAGAAAAGCTCGATTTTCTTCGTAATGTTTGTCCACTTATCTGTTCTTATAAATTGCAAAGTATGAAGTGTATTGCCATGTTTTCGTAAATTGAAAATGTGCACAATTCACTTTCAATTAACACTGGCTGTCAATTAACTGCCAAGGAAGATTTCGTAAATGTAAAACGCACGTAAACTTTGTGAATATTGTGCATACTAAATTTTGAACTTGCATATTTAGCTTGAAGGTCATAATAATAACGAAAGAATGTAAGTTTTCATTTAATATTTTATAGTCATTAAACAAATTAATTACATATTTGGTATTTTATGGAAAATTTTTGGTTAATTTTAAAAATACAAAAAAAAAATTAATGGCAAAATTTGACATTTATGAATAAAATATTCAAGTAGCACTTAAGTTTACAGCGCTTACACAAATGCATATTTGTTGCAAACTTATCGTCAAATTTTACGAAAACGAGTAACATATGAATTATAAAAATATTTGCTTTCTTGTTAATGCAGAAATAATTAAACTAAACATATTTCAAAAAAATTCTGCGTTATTAAGTATAAAATAAAATGAACCCTTTGTAAAACAACTTTTTGGATCATGCGCACATTAATCGCAAATTTAAATTAGATTTGACCGAATTCTAATAAAGATTGAAATTTACTATCTATTTATTTTACAAGAAAATTTTTGCAAAATTTTAATAAACAGATCAACAGATTATTCGTTACCCACAAAGCAAAACATCTAAAATTTTTTTTTACTAACTTTTCAATATGACGAAAATAAGGTTCAATTCAATACTGCTTATATTCTATCAGCTTAAATAGATTTAAGATGATTTGGTTTTTGGTCTTTAGCTAAGAGTTAGGACATTTTGCTTTGTGCATAATTGAAAAAAATGGACTTAAGATAGTTTTACCGTGATTATAAAACTGAATCGGAGGGCGATAAAGACACCAGCTTTAGATATAAGTATGGATTTGTTATCCTGGAATTTAAACATGTCCTTAACCTAAAGTATCTTAAGTCGACTTAAAATGATTTGCCTTGTGGGTAGCGATTATTGAGTTTAGTATTGAAAATTCGAATTTTCCATCTAAAATTTCATTCGAAAAGGGTTTACAAATAAAAACTAATTTAGCCAAGTTTTATCTACATTAAATATTACAACTAACAACAATTTTTAATTTTACATACAAAATAAAAATCAAGTTTTTCTTCAGAGAAAAAAAAAATTATTAAAATTTTATCATTAATTTATCACTTTTATTAAAACAAATTTACTTACTAATATCTTTTGAAATACCATAATAAATTTAAAATAAAGCAAAATCAACAAAGTAATGAATAATAAAAATTAATGAAAAAAATAATTGTATCGAATCTTAAATATGGGGAAGCAATCGTAAAATACAAAATACGAAGAAATTAAACCAGAAAATTGTGAAAATACAAAGTATACAGTTGTTTTGTACTTGTTTTCCTCTTAAATTTTGTGTTATGAATTTCTTTAAAAAAAATGCAACTGTATACAACTATGGGAAATTCCAAGTACAGGAAGCAATTGAACTCTATATACTATTATGCATATACTTATATACATTTGGTTTTATTAAATGACTATGAGGTCAATAGTGTTACTCGTGTATAGTTACGTCCTTTAAGTATAAGAATAACCATTGTAATGGGCAAAATTTTATATAAATAGGAAGTATTTGTATATAATCACGAATTTTAAGGAAAATACATAAAAGAAAATAGTTACGAGAAGAAAAAAATATTTAAGAATTAAACAAATTTTTAACTGAAAAATTTTAATGTTTCTTTACGATCTTAAACAGATTTTAACTTCCTTGTTAATAATTTGTTTATTCTATATGTTTTGTAAGTAATTCAATTCAATGTTATTTGATATTCTTAATTATTTTGTATACGCAAATTGATTTAATACTTATCAAGCCATTATGGTTAAAATTTTTCAGCTACATTAACACATACTTAGGCTCATATAAGTTGAAAATTAAGAGATGCAATTTATTCATGTGGAAAATAGGCTTAACCCTTTCGAATCGGTTTTCGAATAATTTTAATAGTTTACTGTTACATACTCGTATGTGTACCTGACGAATTTTTTGAAAATTTATCGCTATTTTAAATCAATGTGTTGGTTCAATATTGCTTAATTGTATTAAATATTTATTAACAATAATATGGAAAATGCAAAAATTATTTATGATTAGTCCTGCGTTCATTGTTTCATTCTTGAATATACTTTTTAAGAAGTACTCAATAATGAAATTAAAGAAATATTCGCCTCAATATCTGACTGCGGATCTGGTGAATGTAAATGCTAGGGACCTTAGCCATTTACCTAACCTTGTCTCTAAAATTCCCGATAAATTTTATTTTAAAATTTTATTTATGAAACAATTCCGGAAATGAAGAATATAATTGAAGAAACGAGTGAATGAAAGTTTTGAAGTTTAGAGCAAATGAATTTTCTTTCAAAGCAAAATAATTCAAAAGTGTGACATAACACTTTTTAAAAATAAGTTATCTCTTAAACTGAGTTGAGATAACCCCCGTTTATATAGAGCTTCTATTTATGCAGTATAAACTTATTTTCGTAAAAATTGTAGACGATACCCTCATTCATTCGTGTCTTTAATTATTATATTCAGAATTCTTCATCCATTTGGAATTCAATAATTGCTCATCAACAATATTATCAGTTAAACGTAACACCTGCACAAATATACTTACAAGAAAAACAAAAATAACAATTGAAAATTACTTTATACCCAAAAAATAAATTCCATAAGAACCTACTAATTTCCAAGAGCTACAATAAATTTTCCAAATCTCACATTATTATTATTATTATTTATAACACATGAATTAGGCAATAAAAACTGTGATTCACGCAGTTTGATAAGAAAAGAACAAAACAAAAAATTACATTTTCTCACTGGCGAAAAATTCCATGTTAATTTTTAGCACTTTTCCAAAAATTTTTTGAAAAAAAGTGCTTATTAGTTTCACTCTGTCCGTCCGTCCGTCCGTCCGTCCGTCCGTCCGTCCGTCTGTCCGTGTGTCTGTTTACAAAACTTCTACATTTTTAAAGATAGAAAGCTGAAATTTAATACGTACATAGATCTTTACTAGAAACTTATTTCCGTAGAACAAAATTTTTACCTATCTCCCCCCCTCTAGAAGTTATACCCCCCCAAAGCACTAAAAATGGCCTATTTTAACTATTTGTTGCAATGAAACCATAAGTATTTTTGAAATTTTGCAAACGCAGAAAGGCTGTGGCTTGCTTCCCCTACCGCGGTATACTATCGTTAAACTTTAGAAAAACAAAATGGCCGTTCAAATTTACCGTTATCTACAGTCCTTTTTTTCCAAATTTTTGATGTCGTTTTTCTTCTAGATCCCAGTCTGTAGAAGCTTGAAATTTAAGGAGCTTTTAGACATTAACATATAGTTTATTTCGTTAGAAGAAAATTTTTTTCCATCTCCACCCCCTCTCAAGTTATGGCCTCTTGAAATTTGTAAAATTTGCATTTTCGACACCTTATATTTCTGAAACCGCAAGCTTTTTCAAATTTCCATAAACGCAAAAAGTTAACGGTAAATTCCATGATATTAAAAAATATAATTATTTTTCTTAACTCACACAAGTAACCCTTAAAATCGAGCATTATGTTAACCCCTGCTTATATTAATTTTTGCTTTATTTCAAAGACTGCATAAATCGTTCATCCTAAATATATGCAATCCTAGAAATAGTTTTGTATATGAATGAAAATAATTTTAATAGTGTGATAGGTATACATACTCGTAGACTGTATTTAAAAGCAGAATTTTCACTTGTTGAAGGGAAAAGTGCTACAATACAAACCATT